CTGCATATAGTTTGCCTGGAAAGAGAAATGCAAGTAGTCTTCAACTTACAGCCCACAACCGGGACCAGAATTTTGATTGCTAAGCAAGCTGGTTAAATGAATTATGCTTGATTTTATGACCTTTATTGCCATGGTTGTTAAGCAAATCTCTGCAACCGTTAAGTGAATTATGTGGTTATTAGGCAAATCCAGCTTTCCCATTGACTTTGCTCATCAGAAGCTGGGTGGAAGGGGCACAAATAGTGACCACATGACCCTGGGAGACTATAACCGTGGTAAATACATGCTGTAGGTCAAGCACCCAAATTATGATCATGTGATCGTGGGGGTACTTTGATGCTCATAAGTGCAAGGACCAGTCATTTAAGTCACTTTTTTCAATGACTTTGTAACTTTGAACAGTTGTTAAACAAATGGTTATAAGCTGAGGATTACTTGTATATATTCTGCAAAGGGCATTCATTTTCAAACTAGAAGAGATGGGGATTCCGACAGGTTCCTTTCACTTAGCTAAAGCAGATGCTAAAACCTTCCCTGTTTCTGTCTCTCAGTCAGGGTGACCCACAGGCTTCACCACCCAATTCTTGTGTGAGAACTAAGTACAAAAATTACAGCTTTGTTTTTCATGACATTTTGTTGCCATAGGAACCATTTCACAGAGTCTATAGAGCCACATGATTCTGCTACTTTTCTTTCAATCTGTTTCTGTTTATTCCCCTGTCTGGAAAAAAAAACCTGTTACATTGGTTTCATCTGGTTTCTACTATCTATGTCACTTCTTTTCAGAATTAAAATGGGAAACAGATTCAAGTAGAGTGGGAAAGAGACGTCTCTGATTTAAGCAAATCTGTTATTTCTCCACAGAGTACTATTATCTGTGTGTGTTTTGACTGAAATAACAGAGATAAATCAAGGGAGATAAACCCAATTTCAGGTTTGCAGCAGAAATATTTATTTTATTCAACTTGGATGCTGTCCATCGCTAATCATTTTGGGATGGCTGACAACAATAAAGAATTCAAAGAGAATTCAAAAGAATACGAAGAGAAACAAATTATAGAAATTAACCAAAACAGCACAAAAAATAACTAGAAGATAATCACAAGATAGCAATCCAACAACAAAACAAATATATAATATCACAAATGGAGAAATACCAGGAAGGCTATCCAAAGTTCTGGGTAAATAGCCAGCTCTTAAAGCTTTCCAGAATTAAATCATGGTGGGAGTTATATGGATTTCAGGGGAGACTTTATTCCAGAGGAGTAACACTGCTACACAGCAGGCCTGTTTCCTAGGCCCACAAAGATGACAGTGTTTAATGGAGCGGACCTACAATTAATCTATTGTGCCAGATCACACTGGACAGGCTGAAACAATTAAAGATAGGAGGCCCCATAGGATCTCCTCAGGAAAAAATCAGCAAGCTTCTTGACAGTGTCAAGCCAGCAAATGGCAGTCACGTAACTATGGGATGCTGCAACCATCGTAAGTATGAGCTGGTTGTCGAGTGCCTGGATCACACTGGTGTGATTATGGGTTCTGCAATGGCTGGAACTTTGAGCATCACTTGCAAGTACCACTTGTTCAGTGTACTCACAACATCAAGTGTTACAATGAATGATCATTAACTGAGGACTACCTATAGATGGGTACAGAACTGATACAACAATTGTATCTAACAAGTACATCCATACCAATGAGTCTACATCAACCAGTAGGAAGGTACTAATTCAACATATTAATAAATTACTTTCATGAGATGTTAGAAAATGTGAACATTAAATCTGAAGGGAACATAAAAATGGGGTGGATGGGAAATACTTTAGAGGCCAATACCAACATTCAAGAAGATCTTGACAAGCTAAAAGCAGAAAGTAGAAACAAGTATCACTTTCAATAATGACAAATGCAAAGTCCTGCATCTGGATAGATAAAATAAAGGCATAAGTGTAAGAGCTAGTTTGGTCTAGTGGCAAAGGCATCAGGCTAGAAACCAGGAAACTCTGAGTTCTAGTCCTGCTTTAGGCTTGAAAGTCACAAGGTGATTTGGGGCTCTCTCAGCCCAACTCATCTCACAGAGTACTTGTTGTGGAGAAAATAGGAGAAGGAATTATCACCGAATATGTTCACCACCTTGAGTTAGTTATAAAAATAATAAAGGTAATATAAAAAAACTTTAAAAATGATTATAAACTGAACATAAGCCAATCAAGTTATGCAATTGCCAAAAAAAAAAAAGCAAATGCAATCCTAGGCTGCATCAACTGAAGTAAAATCTCAAGTTCAAAAGAAGTAATTTCTCCTCTCTATTCTGCACTGGTCAAACCACATGTATAACATTGCATACAGTTCTGGGGACTGTATTTTAGGAAATAGATTTGCAAATTAGAGTATGTCCAGAAAAGGAAGTTCAAGGTGGTAAGGCACCTTGATGGGGATACTTAGGAGGAGGCATTGGGTATGTTCGGCTTGGAGGGCAGAAGACTTCAGGGAGACATCATAGCTGAGTATCGGAAGGGCTATCATGTAGAAGAGGGGCAGATTTTTTCAGAGTTATTCCAGGACAAGAGAGCGGTTTTAATTATATAAAAGTAATTTTGGTAAGATATCAGGAGTATGTTTTTAATTATAAAAGCTGTTCAACAATGTTAAAGATCACCCCAGGCAATGGTGGATTCTCACTAGATAATTTTCACCGATAGTCATCTCTGCGCTCCTGTATGGTGGAAAGCTGCACTGGCCAGAAACTGGACTAGATAATCTTTCTAATCCTTCCAATGTATGATTTTATGGTTTCTCACAGCATACCCTGGCATAACTAGTTGTTTTGGGAAAAATACTCTTATGTTTCTCCTCAGTAGTTATAAGTCAATTTCATCAAGCCAGTAGTATTCCATCAGGTCAACTTTTAAAAAGAAAGACAATGACTTACAGAAAATAAATATTTTTTTTGAAGGAACATGATTTTAAACAGAAACTTAAATGCAGAGTTATGTTTAAAGTTCTTAAGCAAAAAAAAAAAAGATTTTTACTAGTTCAAAACTGTTGCTACTGTAAATAAGTATGAAAAAGATGGAATGCCTATATATATCATATTTATTTGTTTATTTAATTCAATTGAGGTACCACTTGACTCCAGCTGATTCTGGGCAGCTCACAATGTTTTATTATAAAAATCTGATACATACCAAAACAAGATGGGATGGAGATATACAATACACATACATACTAAGGGGCAGATTGTAGACCATGTGATCTATAATCAATAATTAAGTTTAAGATTAAGGATGAAACTGCATCATTTGCTTCTCTTAGCACTCTTTCCAAGTGGCTTTTTAAAACAATATAAGAGATAAAATTATGCAGGTAATATATTCTGCCTGTATTGCTTCAGCAAAGGGACATACAAAATTATGTTCAAACTTGTTATACTTTCTGACTGCTTTGGAAATGGTCTTTTAGATAGCAATACATTTGCATGTTGCCAAGTATAACGCTGATAGAAGAAGGTGCATACTATTTATATAAGGTAGAAATCAAATTGGAAAGTTTTCTAACTGAACTGTAGAACTGATTACACAAGTATGAATTTAATCTAGATCAGATCCTTTGATAATGAATTATGTAATTGATAATACAATGGACAAAACATGACAGGAATAATAGGAGTAAAAGAATGCTTTTAAAATGATCTGCTTTTCTTAAAGACTTGGGTTAGGAAAAGATTAATTTTTATTTTTAAACTACATCAAGAGTATAAAATATGCAGCTTTTAGAACATGTGTGGCCAATGGGAGATTGAATATAACTCCAACTATCACATTAGAATAGATGGGGCCAACAATTTGGATTTTTTGTTTGGCAAGGCTTAATCTATTTATTTCATCTCCTAATCATCCACCCCAAAGAGACAAAAATAACTTGAGTCCCATTTATTTTGTCAGCTTTTCCCTTCCACTTGCTTTTCTGTTAAAAAAGGAAAATCTGCAGTTTTCTCTTCAGGAGAATTTCAGTATTCTTGCATCTTCTATTGATTTAAAAAAAACACACAACAGGAGGGAGAGGAGAGTACTCAATATTGCTATTACAAAAATTTCTCTTGAGGCAAATGAGCGGTTCAGAAATGTGAAAAATAAATAAAGAAAACAAAATGCCAACATAAAAAACCCACATAAAATAAAGTTAAGAAAAAAAATAGGAAGGTGTTTTCTCCCTTCAGGGTTAAAAAAAAGAGATTGAATTTATACACAGGATTCTCTTAATATGAACTAGGATAAAGATTAATGAGTCAACAGCGGTTCATATTATTCCCCACAGCAATGAGAAGCAGAGATGGTTAAACTGATTCTTTTGTCCAAATATGAGAATATATTTAATCTTGCTTCTATTTTGAAATTGCTCCCAGATTTTGTGCTTGCAATGAAAAAGAAAATGAAATTTTGATTTTGTTTCTGTTGATTAGATAGGTTTATTGTTATAGAAATGGTTTGTACATACTGTTGTGTAAAAGCAAAAAGTTGTGATTGTAATGCTGTTATCTTCTTCTGTGCTAAAGAGAGTCAGAAGTTGGTGCCTTTTTTTCCTCTACTTTGCTCATACTATCTTTTTTCTTTTCCCTTCCTTCCCCCTTTTCTAGTTTTCTAATATTTTTTTTAATTGTTCTTTGCATTTTATATTTTGACAAACCAATAAAAAAATTATTAAGAAAAAAATAAAACTTGGAATTTACACACTTAGTTAACTGTCCCTCTGTCATGAATCTATCTAGATCTAGATCCTATCCAGATCTCGTCTGAGAAAAAAAGATGAAAGACAGCTTAGAAAAATGTAGAAAATATTATCATCCTCTCTCTCTGCTAGAAATGATGTCTTTACAAAAATTTTCTTGCCCCAACATAGGAACATGGCAGGAGTCAGCTTTAATAATGTAGAAAGCAATCCATGCAGAGTTCTGATCATAGCTTCAGGAACTGAAAAGATAAACAAACCAGGCTTACCTCAGCTTTGTTCTGCTTCTCTTTATACTCGCTCTGTTCCTTCTCCATTCCAACCAGTTTGATTTTCAGATCTGAAACTTCTGCCATTAAATCCAATTTCTGAGTTTCTAGCAACGTCCGACTTAACAGTTCCTGAAAAAAGAGAACATGACTTTTCCAGTTATTCAATTCTAAAACAACAGAAATGGTCTTTTACCCGTCTGTTTCTGATTTTAACAATGAATATGCAATATCTACATTATTATTATTATTATTGTTGTTATTGTTGTTGTTGTTGTTATTATTATTATTATTATTATTATTATTATTATTATTATTATTAATTATTATCCACCCAGCAAGTTCTTCCCAAGGACCTGGGATAGGCATGTTTGATGGTGTTAAAGCTACTGTTGCAGGATATAAGCTGTTCTAAGTAAAACTGTGTTTTGCAATTGACTGATGGTGATTTTGTCAGTGCCAATGGTGATCAAGTGGTGCCCCAGATGTTTTAGAATTGTACTCAAGATGCCAATTATTATTGGTACCCGTTTTGCTTTCTTTTGCCACAATCATTCTGACTCCTATTTGCAGCTCCTTGTATTTTATGATTTATTATTATTACTATTACTATGTACTGCAGTAATTACTTTATTATCCAAGAAATTTAGCACTTTGTATATGGTTTTGTTAAGCATGTTTTGAATTATGGAAGCAGTCAAATAAACATGTAGTACCAGTAAATAAAATAAGCCGTAACTGTTAGAACGGAGTAAAAATTCCAAAAATAAAGGGTTTCCCCCCCCCCAGGGGTTCATCCAGAATAAAGAACAAAATTGTTTTACTATTTTAGGTTTAGAAAATTATATATGACAGATTGGATTTTTAAGGAGGAAATAGCAGCTGGGGAAAATGTTTACCCTTTCCTCCTCTTTCTTCCCCGCAAAGATGACTAAATAGGGCATATTTCACAAATACAAATGAATTCTGTATATTAGAAACTGCAACAAATGTACCTGTGGCCAAGGGAGGGAGGGCATCCATTCTAACTCAGATGGCTTGTAGTGACAGTTAAAGTAAAAATTCCCCAGAAAGATCCACTGAAATCTATAAACCATGCCCACTCTAAAAATTAATCCTGGGGTTCTTTTGTGAGTGGGATTGCTCTAGTCTAAAATTCCCACAAATTGCTGGGTGGAACAATCTTAAAAAGAACCAGAAGATATATGAGCATTAAGGATTCCAGAAAGTCATATGACAATATATGGAGATACTATTTCTAACAGTGTCATGTCTCATTTTTCTCACAGCTAGCTCTCTAACCCCATCTTTTCTGGAAGCTGGAAAAATGAGCATTAATATCGGCAAGGGAGCACTAAATAAACACTAAAAAACCCTTTACAAATGGCATCAAAATCAAATCAGTTGAGTAATTTTATCCACAGATGCTGTAGAAGACACGACAAGAAACAATGGGTTAAATATGAGCCAGCAGTGTGCTGCAGCTGCCAAAAAGGCCAACACAGTGCTGGGCTGCATTAACAGAGTGATAGAATCAAGATCACGTGAAGTATTAATACCACTTTACAATGCCTTAGTAAGGCCACACTTGGAATACTGCATCCAGTTTTGGTCACCACGATGTAAAAAAGATGTTGAGACTCTAGAAAGAGTACAGAGAAGAGCAACAAAAATGATCAGGGGACTGGAGGCCAAAGCATATAAGGAAAGGCTGCTGGAATTGGGT